TGAGAAAGAACAAACAACTTAACATACAGGATGAAGGACTTAGGTTAGACAAAGCAAAAAAATCTATGTATTTCTGCCTATGAGAGTTAGAACTGACACTATGGGACTTCCTCTTTAGAGATCTTTAAAATAGGTTAACATCTCATCTTTCTGGGACAAGTAAGGTGTGTGGAGAGTGGAAAGAGACCTGGACTGGGAGTCCTGAGTCCAGTTCTGCATCACAATGGTTTTGAGAAAGTCACTTTTCACTTGTGGCTCAACTACTTGATGTGGGAAGTGAGGGAAATTGGCAGATAGTGTATAAGGCCTCTCCCAACTCTTCAGCCTTATTTTTAAATTGTTAGGCATGACACAGAAAGTAGGGAAAGACTGCTTTTCCCATGGGTGTGGAAACTCTTGGTATTAATACCCAGCTGTTATTACAAATCCTACTTCCAGCTCCTTTCCAAACTACCCATTCTCCCCTTAAATTTTTCACGAAAATATAACATACATACAGTAAAGCACACAAATCTTAGGTGGATAGCCCAATGAATTTTTGCAAATATATACAAATGTATAACCATCATCCAGATCAAGATATAGACCATTATCATCAACCCACAAGCAATACCTGCCACTTCCTTAAAAGCAAATCTCTATCTATTCCAGCTTTCATCTCTTCTATCTCAGTGAAGTATGGGAACTTTTGATAAATAGAATCATATATTATATACTTTTTTATGTCTCAACATTGTCTCTATGAAATTCATCCATGTTGTGGCATATGGTAGGAGTATATTCTTTTTTCATTGCTGTATAGTATTCCGACATGTAACTGTATCACGATTTATCCATTCTATTTTTATTGGTATTTGGATTTTTTCCCATTTCTGGATATTATGAACATTCTGTTTATGTCTCCTGTGAACATTTTTTTTTTTTAAAGATGACCTGTAAGGGGATCTTAACCCTTGGCTTGGTGTTGTCAACACCACGCTCTCCCAAGTGAGCTAACTGGCCATAACTATATAGGATCCAAAGCCGTGGCCTTGGTGTTATCAGCACCACACTCTCCCAAGTGAGCCACAGGCCGGCCCTAACATTTCATTTTTGTTGGGTCTATACCTAAGAGTGGAATTGCTGGGTCATAGGATAGGTAGTGTATATTTAACTTTATTATGAACTGCCAAAGAGTTTTCCAAAATATTTATACATTTTTCACTCCCATCAGCAACGAAAGTTCTGGTTGTTCCACATCCTCATCAACAGTTGATGTTATTTTTTATTATTATTTTAGCCATTTCAGTGAGAGTCTTACTTTGTGTGCCTCTATGTGTGTGTGTATTTAATTTTTATTATGGAGGATTTCAAACAGACTCAACAACAAAATAGTATAACGAAGTCCCCTGTATTCCATTGCCCAGCTCTAAAAACCATCAATCTCTGGCCAATCCTGCCCCATTTTCACAACATGCATTTCCTCTTCTCTCGTATTATTTTGAAGTAAATCTCAGAATTTTTATAATTTCATCTGTAAATAAAGAGTACCTCTAAAAGACAAGAACTTCAAAAAATATAACCCGCAGTGCTCTTATACCTAAAAACTGTAGTAGTATTTACTTAATATCATTTAATTTCCACTCAGTGTTCTAATTTTCAGTTGTCATAATTATCATAATTGTTTTTCACATTTTTTGTTCTAATCAAGATACTAATTAAAATAGGCCCACAGATTGCAGTGATATGTCTCTTAAGTCTTTTTTAATCTCTGCCTTCCTCCTTTATCTTTTTTTCCCCCTGATATTTATTTGTTGAAGAAATTGAGTTATTAGTCCTGTAGAATTTTCCAGATCTGGATTTTGCTGACTGCATCCCCTGATATAGTCTAAAATGTTCTTCTCTCCTCTGTATTTTTCTTTAAATTGGTTGGATCTAGAAGCATGATCAGGTTCAGGGTCAGTTTTTCTTGTTTGCTTTTGTTTTGAGCAAGCCTCACTGCCAATTGCTCTCTCTTTGAAAGCTGCACCAAAGCCAGCTGGAGCTCCAGGAGGTGCGGCTTTCCTACCGACAGCTGCAGATGAAGGTGGAAGAACTCACTGAGGAGAGGAGTCTGCAGAGCTCGGCTGCCACCAGCACATCCCTCCTGTCAGAGATTGAGCAGAGCATGGAGGCAGAAGAGCTGGAGCAAGAGAGAGAACAGGTGCTTGCACCCCTGGCACTCTAGCACATGAGGTTGCCTGGGGGCTCTTGGGACACATCGTCCTCCCTAGGACTCAGATGCCAGCCTGGCAAGGGTTGTGGTCCTGCACCTGGGCCAGCTCTAGGCCTCTGGCTAAAGTGCATTGAAGCAGGCCTGACCCAAGTATGTCCCTGGCCCCTCTGTTTTCCACCCAGCTTGTCCATTGAGGCATTGAGCAGAATTGCCAAAGGACAAAGCTTATAGCAGAGCCAAGTCCCACTCAGTGTCCCCCCAGTGCCTCTTAGGAAATGCTTGTTAACTACTGATCAGCCTCATACCTCTTGTATTGGCAGAGTTCTACAACATTCACTATCCATCCTTTCCATCCAATTGGCTTTTTATAATACCCATGACCACTCATTCTCCTAATCATTTCCTGACTCCCACCAAAGAACTGATTATATAAGGAAGAGCTTTATATGGCAAATGTGAGGGACTAGAGAGCAGGGCAGATAAGAGGGGTCTCTATAGATGTATAAATATCATTATTTCTTAGGACAGATAATTTAAAAACAAAACAAAAAAAGTTCTCTTAGAGCTGGTGTCTTGGGTATCAGTATTTTGGGTTCATATTGCCAGGTAGCAGTCCTCTCTAGAGTCCATAATCAAGAATAATTCTTTGTGGAGCAGCTGAGACTGCAGCTCTGGGAAGCCTACTGCCAGGTTCGCTATCTCTGTGCACACCTTCGAGGAAATGACAGTGCCGACTCAGCCGTCTCCACAGACTCTTCAATGGACGAGTCTTCAGAAACCTCATCTGCCAAGGATGTGCCAGCTGGCAGCTTGCGCACTGCCCTCAACGAGCTCAAGAGACTGATACAGAGCATTGTGGATGGCATGGAGCCCACGGTAAGATGCCAGTCTGAGAAGATCCCCCCACAGGATCTGGCTGGCGGGAGGTTGAAACCTAGTGCAGAAGGTGAGGTTAACCCTGGAACTGGAACCATATAAAATATATGAAAGAACTCCTTCAGTGCCTTTATTTGTTTGGAAGTACTGAATACTGGTGACCAGGCAGAGGGGCCAAGTACCAGGGAATGGAAGGCTCCAAGGTCACCTCCGTACAGACACCAAGGGACAAGTGGAGTCATTTTCTCCATATAGTTATCTACAGACAGTGGTGGCCTCAAGTTCAAGGGCTTTTCTTGGAAACATTGAGTATAGAAATTTGTATCCAGGTTAAAATTGCAACTTCCTATTCTGTAGCCCTTTGGTCCTAGTGGTGGGGTTAGCTATGATTAGGCTAATTAAAAGATCTGAAGCTTCTGCCGAAAGAGTATAAGTGAGCACAGCTCCAAGGGCCTTTTAGGATTCCTGATGTGGCTCTCCTGTGGAGGAGAGGAATGTACCCATGGGCATCTTGGGCAGACTGGCCTTTCTTCTAGCTTCATGACAGACTTCTCCCTGATTTACTCTCCATTTACACTCCTAGCTCTCGGGCCAATATTTCTCCTCAGGTTTTTTCTTGCTACAGAATAGTTGTCTTTCTACCCATATTAGATGAAGTAAGATGAAAGGGTGATTGTTTTTATCTGACCATATTGTGTTGATTTGTAGAGTGTATTGTTACAGAGGCCAGGTCATCATGGGAGAAGGGAGCAGTCACGCTGTGGTGTGCTATTTACACCACACAGCTTCCTTTCCCTGAAGCCTGAAACAAAAATGAACATCTAACCAGCGTTTGCAGATTGAAATTGAGCAAGAGGATCTCTCCCTCTAACCCTGTCTTTCTTCCCCCTTTTGTGTCTCTTCTTTTTCTCCCTCCCCCTGCCACCATCTTCCCTACTGTCTTTCTCTCCCCCACCATCTCTCCATGCTTCTCTCCCTCTCTCCTCTCCATCTCTCCCCCACTAACCATCTCTTCACTCTCCTCCCCATCTCTCTCCCACCTCACCATCTCTGGCTTGCTCTCTTTCTTTTGCTGTCAGAGCTCCCGGAGAATTGATGATGACTCCTTAGAAGAACAGATAAGGCAGACCAGTGAGGACTCAAGAGCCCTAAGGGAGCTCATGGAGGGAGAGAGGGGTAAACTGAGGCAAAGCCTAGAAGAGCTACAGCAACTTCACAGCCAGGTGAGCACCCCTAACTTCAGTCCAGTGCAGGGAATGTGCACATGTCCACCAGCTCTCTTGGGATGCTTGTGAGTTTCTCTCCCCCTTCTGTTTGAGAATCAACTCTCCTCCATCAAATCCTCAGGGGACTGTGACCTGAAGTTGAGATGAGGTGGGTGTCTTCAAGAGAAGAAACCAATACTCTAAGTTTAGCCCAAAGTAAAACTGGCAGGGATAAGAATAGCTTATCCTCCATTTCCTCCAGTGACACCCTGCTTACACTAAGCCAAAAGTTAGTCTGACTGGTGGATGCTGACAGTTTAAAGTGCTGCAGCTCCCAGGCCACTTTTGGCTGGGCAGAGAGGTTCACAAACCAAGGAACAATTGATCTTTACAGGACCATTTCCTCTGTCGGCCAGTTTTTCAGCTTTAGAAAAACTCACTGCTTTCCTCACTGTTGCTTTCCTGTTTGATCATGATTTCGTCTCTCTTGAGAACACTGGAGAAGGACATCTATATTCTCATCTAAAAATGTTAAAGGACTTAGGAGCAGCTCCACCCAGAAAGGAGCTTCTAAAATCTATCCTAGGAGACAAATAAAGGCTCTTCCTTTTGACTGCAGTCATGTGTAAAGGTTCTGTCCTACTTGAGGATGGGTGCTGGGGGAGCACCAAACAAGCGGCATGTTACACCCTGCCCCCACCCAGCCTTCCCCTTTCCTTTCCTTGTCCAAAGCTATTCATCTCTTCCTGCTGCACAACTTTTCTGCAAGATGAAATTTAATCCTGGCTTATCCTTGTCCAAAGCTATTCATCTCTTCCTGCTGCACAACTTTTCTGCAAGATGAAATTTAATCCTGGCTTACACTTCAGTCAGTATTTCTTACATTTAAAATACTCTCATAGAAATAAACTCCTTTCTCTTTTGGGTCATTCCATTAGTATTCTTAATATTGTTTTCTCAGAAATATCAGGAGACCCACTTACAGCCATTCCTGCACTCTTTTTTCTATGAGTGAGTGACCAGGTAATGAGGACAGAGAGATGCTATTTAAAGCTGTGGCTTGCTCCTGGCCTGAGGAGTGGGGTTGGGCAGCCAAAAACATTCTCCTGACTAAAACCTAAGATCCTCAGGTGATTGTTTGACCAGGGAGTGGTTCAGACTTAGGGACAGATCTTCCAGACTGGAAGAACAAAATGCAAGAGAAAGATGGACCTAAAAGTTCTTTGGATTAATAAAAGCTTTATTTATTTTAAAGCCTATTTAAATTTCTGTGGGGGGCTTCTACTTATCAGCTCTATGGTATTGACTGGCTTCTTGTTTCACTTTGGTTTTTTGCTTCTCAGAATTATAAAACCAGAAATTCACCAGGTGGCATTATTCCATTTAGAAACATAGGCAAAGTGTAGGTTGCTAAGAATCTGTCTTGGAACCACTTAGGAAGCCAACACCACCAGGGAATTCTCCTTAGAAGTTCAGCTGATAACTGCTTTAGGCCAGTTCCTATGGATTCCCATTCAGATAGTTCACCAAGCAGATGGTTGCACTCACATCCACATGGGGTATGGAATTGGTCTTCTCCTATAGGTCATCTCTCCCCAAATGCTCAAAGTAGGAAACCTCTCAGCCACACTGTATCCACCAAACCTGCTCTGTGGGAATAGCACTGACATCCCACAGCAGTGGGTAGGACACAGATTGAGTTCCAGACCATGGAAATTGCAGCCATCACAGCAGGCATGACGCTCCTCACGTAAGGCCAGTGCAGTATGTGCTGACACCCACCATGTGCCTGGCACTGCACCAGACTCAGGGAGGCACAAGATGGGACCTCACAGTGTCTGAGGGCAATCAAAGCCATCTCTGGACCATTTGGGGGGTAGAGCCTAGATAAGGTTAGGTGGGGCAGAGGTTCCAACTCCTAGGTCAGGGCTGAACCTCATCCAATGGATGATGCAGCCTCTGAGCCCACTGCCTTCCTTCCTGAGAGTATTCTTTCCTCTCCTGGAAACTAGGCCAGAGGTCAGGTCAGAGGTGTAGGACCTGGAAGGTGAGTGGCCAATAGTAGCCCACCCCTCAGATGCCTACCCAAATTCTTAAATAAAAGAGAGCCCAGGTTTCATTTGACTGTTTATTATCTGTTTGAGGCAAAATCCATAGCCAGACCCAGTGCCCGTTATCATGTTGGCAGAACACAGGCTCCTCGCACCATGTGCTGTCCCCCTCCCCTTTGTATCAGTGGCAAGGAACTGCCCCCTCCTCCATTCTCCACAGCTCACCGCGGCCCACTCCTCACTTCTGGTGAGTACGGAGCAGCTGCTAGGAGGCAGGTTGGGTCTTGGGAGATTAGTCTGTAGAATATGAAAACTACTTATCTGCCAGGTCCCTCACCCAGTTCTCAGGGCAGTAACCAAGGTTTTAGGAGGCTCAGTAGAAACAGTCCCAATTCTGTTTGGGTCCTTCATGCTTGACTAGAGTGCACACCAGTTATTCTGGAAGGGGCATGAAGACACAGGCAAGCGTGTGCTAGGAGCATTTGGGGCTTCACTAATCAAATCTTGGGGACTCCTCCTCTGTAAAGTCTCAGTATTTTCCCTTTCCTCCATCCTCCCTGTTTGAGACCTGCCTTCTTTCACACCCTGGGTTTGGTCACTACTTCCCAATCTGTCTGCCTCCCCACAGCCCACCCACCTCAAGTGATTTGGATTGAACTTCCTGAAGTGTGACTTGAAAATGGAACATCCCTCAAGTTCTGGATTGGCTTCCCATGATCAAAACTCATGGCTGCATGGTCTGGCTGCATTCCAGCCATCCAGCCTCCTTCCCTGTTGTTTCTATCTCACCTTATTTGCTTTAGCAGAATTGAACATAGGATAGAAAAGCGCAACGGCACACACTCCCTGTAGTTTCCAACATCTGGGTCTTTTCTGAGACCCTTCTCATCCTTCAAGTTCCTAGTCAGGTTTCACTTTTTCCTTGAAACCCTCTTGATTCCCTTCCTCATGGAGCTCCCCTGGCTCTGTCTTGTCATGTTACCCTGCTCACTTCTCATCTTCCCAGTGAAACTGTAGACCCCACAAGGACACACTCAGGGTCTTCTAAAGCATCTACCACAGGCCCTTGCCTAGAGTAGGCATTCAAATAGTTGAACAAAAGAGAAAAAGCCCTAGATATGCGACTTCAGTATGTTTTCTTTGATGCTATGCAATTGTGAGGACATGCACCTTATTTGGGAATAGTGGATTTAGGGGTGGATGAAATTTAAGTCCAAGTATGAACAAGCCAAATCAGTCCTCATGACAGCAGCCAGCAATTAGGTCCCATCATGAGGGAGGGAGGAGAAGGGAGTGGAGCTTCCAGCCATATGCCAGGCTCTGCGCCAGCCCTTAATGTTACTTACCTCATTTGATCCTGACAACAACTTGGTGGTGGGGAGTAGTTATTTTTATTCCTGCTTTTTAAGAAAAGTTTGTATGGTTCAGACAGGGTAAGTCCTTTGTCATTTCTCCTAAGGCAGATAGATGGTAGTGGGCTCCAGCTTGACCAGGTTTTCCAGGCCGAAGAAAGAAGTTCTGGAGTTTTATGTGGAGCATATTAAATGTTGGCTTTTCCAGCCTAGCATGTAGTTTTACTTGTTCCTTACTCAGCTGACAGAATACCTGGCAGGCTCAAGGCCATTTCAGGGCTCATTTGGTCTGAGGAGGTCTGACTGTCTCTGCCAGGTGCTTTCTGGGTCTTGAGTTCTGGCCTGTTAGGCTGCAGAACCTGCTGATGAACAGGGTGAGGCTGAGCTTCTCACCTGGGGCCTTGCTTGCCTCAGGGCTAGATGCATAAGTATGTCACAGCCTCTTCAGGCACTTCAGCCTCTTCTTCCTTAAGGCTTCTCACCCCACTCACCAGGAATGCTGCTGCTTTGGGCTATTCTCAGTGCAGAGCACCAGGCCCTCACATTCCCTATCAGACTCCTAAGAACACAAAATCCATTGCCCATAGTGGCAACAAATTGTCCTTCCGTCCCTCTTCATTGTTGGGTGTCTTCCGAATTCCTCCAGAGTGGCTGCTACCCCAGGGGCTGGCACCTCTGCTCTCTCAGTCTGGGGAGTATCTGAAGTGTCTCTAGGGAAGCTTAATCTTCAGCCTTTGTCCTGGGGCCTTTGCTCAGTTTCATTCTATGTGAAGATGATTAGACCTGGGACTTGAAGAGCAGAGGAGTATACTGAAAAGTGACATCTGTCCCCCTGTGGGAGGGAGGCAGACCTGTATGGATGGATCTTCCCTTGGAAAAATGTCAAAGTGTGTGTAATATTTAACAAGAGGGCAGGGTCAGGCATCCTGATTCATGTTTGATCCTATCAACTGAGAAGGAGGAGCTCCCACCCTTCCATTATTCAACAAGTATTTATCAGAAGCTCTCAGGCAGGGTTTCTGATTGCAAACAACAGAAATTTGTTGTGCTTAACTTAAAAGGAAAGAAAATGTATTGGAATTAAATCTGATAGCTTACAGAATCAACATGAAGGCCAGAGAACTCAGCTCTAAAACAGGAAGGAGTCATGGGAAGGAGACAGCAGAAACAATCTGCTGCCCTTGTAAATGGTTTCCCACTTGCCTGTGGCTTTGCAGTACCCCCTCAAGAACTGCAGTCCCAGGTGGGGGGGGGGGTGATTGGTGAGTCAAGGTCACGTGCCATGGGAAGGAGACAGCAGAAACAATCTGCTGCCCTTGTAAATGGTTTCCCACTTGCCTGTGGCTTTGCAGTACTCCCTCAAGAACTGCAGTCCCAGGTGGGGGGGGTGATTGGTGAGTCAAGGTCACGTGACCATGTCCAGGCTGCCTAGGAAAGGAAATGTCTATCCCCCTTTGGCTTTCTTTTTTTTTTTTTAAAGATGACCGGTAAGGGGATCTTAACCCTTGACTTGGTGTTGTCAGCACCATGCTCTCCCAAGTGAGCTAACCGGCCATCCCTATATAGGGATCCAAACCCGTGGCCTTGGTGTTATCAACACCACACTCTCCCAAGTGAGCCACGGGCCACCCCCCCCCCTTTGGCTTTCTTAATGGGAGGTCATGCCCTGTCTCCCCCGAGACTCAACCAACCAGGAATGCCCCCAAAATAGGAAGAGATTTTGGATGATGACTAGCTAAAAAAACAGTCGTCCATTGCACAAGTGTTTTAGGAGTAAGCACCGTACACAGTCAGGCTCTGGGATGGATAATGGCACACTTCCTGCCATCACAGGGATCATGGTGTATCCGGGGTTACTATCCTGTGAGATAGGGTAAGCTCTGGTCAGTGACACTCCTGGTGTCACCTCACTGCCAAAGGATAGCTCTCAGGTTGGGCACCAGGGCCCGAGTGGGCTGCAGTGCCATTCATCACAGAAAAGGTAGAAGGTTTGGAGAAAAAGATGATAACATCATTTAGGTGTCTAAATTCCATTTGGCTTTGACCTGGGTAAAGGAATGAGGAAGAATGGAAGAGAGCCAGGCTGTGCCAAGTGCTGTTAGAGATGGGAGCCAGATCCCAGGGTTTGGAACCATCTAGGGCCCTGCTGATAGCAGCATTCCATATTGAGTGAAAGATGGATGGAAACAAAACTTGAGCTGCTACCTCAAAAAATGTGTTTCAGCACTCTGATGCATTTATGGTTTTCTTTCATTAGCTACCTGGTAGTGCCTTGAGATGAAGGAGGTGGTGTGGTGTGCTGAGCTGAGTACAAAGTGGACTTGACGCTGTGGCTGCAGGTCCAGGGCTTAACATCTCCAGTCCCTTACCACCATGCTCCAGCCTAGCATGTGGCATCCTTCTTCAGGAGAGAGATAGTCCCTCCCTCAGAGCAGGATGGCAGAGGAACACTACCAGGCTGCACCTGCACATGTGCACCCTGTGCCTGCCTGGGATTTCTTTTTTTCTTTTTTCCCTCTCAGGAGAAATCACCCCAGGCCAGCAGCAGTGAGAGCATCACATTCATTACTCTTTGGTCTCCTGTTAGGTGACACTGCTGAGTGTGGAGATGACTGCACTGAAAGAGGAGAAGGACCAACTCAGAGTGACATCTGAGGACAAGGAGCCAAAGGAGCAGCTTCAAAAGGCCATCAGGGACCGGGATGAGGCCATTGCAAAGTGAGTGGGGATGGCTTAATTTTATTTTTAAAATAAAATTGAGTATGCTCAATTTAAAACATTTAATCATACAGAAAAATAGAAGGATAAAAGTTAGAGTTCCCTGCTACCCACCCTCACCCCCAATCCCATTCATCAACCTAGATAGGCCCTACTGTTGAAAGTTGGGTAGGCATTTTTTGCAGATCTTTTCCCTGTATGTATGTAGGTATTTATGCAATGTAGATGTTACATGGTTTGTTTGTTTTTTTTTTTTCATTTCTAGTATTTATTTGTTCTTCTTTCTTAAATTAATCTGTTAATATTTTTTATTGTGGCAAAATACACATAACATAAAATCAACATTTTAGCCATTTTAAAGTGTAGAATTCAGTGACATTTAGCCCACTCACAGTGTTGTACAACCATCACGACTAACTTGTTTCAAAACATTTCATCACCCCAAAAGGAAACCCCATAACCATTTCACAGTCGCTCCCATTCTCTTCTGTCCCCAGCCCATGGCAACCATTAATCTGCTTTTAGCCTCTGTGCATTTTTTTTTAATTAAAAAAAAAAAAAAAATTTACCAGAAATTGCTTTTATACCCCGTGTCCCCATCCTAGATGTTACATGTTTTTTTTAAACATTTATGGAATGATACTCTACATGTCTTGTTCTTTTATTGCTTATATCTTCGAGAGCTTTCCAATTTCATTATATATCTCTACTTCATTTTTTAATTTTTTATGGTTTTTTTAACGGTTTTGTGATGGACATTTTTAAGCATATGTAAAAGTAGAAAACATAAGATGAACCCCTATCCATCTGTCAGTGTCAACACTAATCAATATACAACCATTGTTTTTTCATCTGTATCCCCACCCACTTTCTCACCTCCCCATTGGATTATGTTAAACCACAAGACATATCATCTAATCCATAAACACTTCACTACGTGTCTTTACTGGAAAAAGACTTCTTAAAAAAACACAACAACAATATAATGATCACAGTTGAAACAATAATTTTTAAATAACATTTAGTATCCAGTGTTCAAATTTTGCTAATTATCCCATGAATTCTTTTTGTAATTGATTAAAATTAGACTCCAAAGTCCACGTATTCCATCTAATTGAAGTCTGGCACACTTCTCCCTCCCTCTTTTTTCTTTTTCATATTGTATGTATTTATTGAAAAAACTGGATCATTTGTTTCATGGGATTTTTCTACATTCTGGGTTTGATTGCACCCCACAGCATCATTTAACATTTTCTTCTTCTTCTTTTTTTTTTTTTTTAAAAGATGACCAGTAAGGGGATCTTGACCCTTAACCTGGTGTTGTCAGCACCATGCTCTCCCAAGTGAGCCACAGGCAAAAAAGATGACCAGTGAGGGGATCTTGACCCTTAACCTGGTGTTGTCAGCACCATGCTCTCCCAAGTGAGCCACAGGCCAGCCCTTAACATTTTCTTCTGTCTCCTATATTTCTGACAGACTAGGTCATTTTTTAAATAATGTTTTGGGTTTTCTTTAACAGAAGAAAAGCATAACTGCTTTCCCTTACTCTCAAAAAAATTGGAAGTGCATAGACAAAAAACATACCTTCCCCATTCCCCTGTAAATTACTGCTTTATCATGCACTCAACCAACCCTGTTCACTAAGTATGAGGAGATAAAAGCTACCAAAAATGTGTCTGCTTTTGGACCACTTCAAACACATTAATAGCAACATTTGTACATCACTTTACTGTTTACAAAACCTATTCATTCTTTAATCCTCCCAGCCACAGTAAGAAGTAAAAATTTTTAATCCCAGTTTTACAGGTGAGGACACTGAGATCCTTTCCCAGGGTCACAGCCAGTAGTGACTCACCAGCCTGTACCTCAGGTCTTCTGACTCCTGTCGTTCTGACAGCCTTTCCCCTCTGCTGCACTGCTGAAACTCAAATGAGCTCCTTTAAAACAATACGTAAAATGATACTTTATGCCTTTTTAAAAATTATATGACATGTTTTGATTTGACTTTAAAATTCCTCACACTCTAACTTTCCCCTTTCTAACTTCCACACACTTTCCCCCTCCCTTCTGTTCTCTTTAACCATTTTCATTACCTCCATTTCTCAGTTTTACCTTGGCGTTCCCTTTTCTATCTAGTCAGAACCTCACATCAGGTTGTCTATCAATTTCTAGTTCACGTTAGGAATTACACTCGGTGAGGCATACTACTATGTCATCTTTGCCACTCAGATTCCCAGTACCCTAGTTAGTGGATACGTGAACAGTGGCGTGATATAAAGGGGAGGAGGGAGCATAACTTTAGGAATAACCAAGGGTGAAATTGTGTGATACAGTTAGGGAATAAAACGGTAAAATGAAGATGTTGATTGGAGAAGCCTATTGGGAATAAAAAGCAGAATAAAGTTAGACAGACATACACACTGGCTGGTCACCTTCTCTCAGCCAGACAAGCAGAAGAGGCTAAACATTCAGATCTGACCATATTCTGCCATCAGCATGGAAGGTAGGAGACAACCACACAAAGTGTCAGGGTGCAGGAGAGAAGAAACAAGGTGTCCCCCTCTGCCACTTGGGTGAGAGATGAGGTTACCAAATCTACATGAAACCTTGCTTGCCTTCTGTGAAAAGGGCCCCAGTTAACATCCTGGAGTCTGACTGATCAGATTTGCAAATTCAGTACAGAGAACTCTGGAGTGAGGGCCCTGTCCTTCCTGGACCCCTATTGAACAGGCTTGGCTGAGTAGGAAAGGTGTTAGATCACTCCAAGAGGATAATTTTTCCTTTAGAAATGAAATTCTTGATGTACAAGAATTGAGACAGCAAATCTAAGGAATGAATCATTTAGAGAAAAAACCAAACCCACATTTGTATAGAACCTTAGAGTTACAGGATACTTTCATATACATCATCTCTGATTCTCGATCCTGGCTGCACATTACTGTCATCTGGGGAACTCCCCAAATGTCAGGGCCCTCCCCAGAACAATTCAATCTGAATCGCAGGAGTTGGGGCTACTTCTTTACCCTGTGATTCTAATGTGTAGTCAGGGGTGAGAATCTGTAAGAAAAATAACTTCCCTCTCTTCACTGGGCTGCAGGAACCGTAAGGTGTACCTTATCCTACAATAGACAAGTTTCAAGAAAGTTAAGTAACAATTCTATCTCTTTGCCGGTGAAAGTCCTTCACTAAAAACAAAAATAAACCTGGGGCTAGCAATCTGCCTTACAAAAACAACAAAGAGTCAGTAGTGGTTTCACTTAAACAAGGAATTCTTCTAGTCCTTCTTAAAAATGCGATTAATGTATCCATCAAAGACTTCTGTAGCCGTGCTTTCCAGTCTATTTCTCTTAAATGACAAACACTATATTCTTTAGGGAGCAAACGTCCTGAGGGTACAGGGCGTGGCCAGGATACAGAGGTTGGGAAAGCAGGCCCTGCTTTAGGGGCTTTTGGGGAAGGAAGGGAAACCCCAACATGCCTGGATACCACAGCTGCCGGATGTCGGCCCTTGGGCCCCTCGACCCACCGGTGTTAGTCAGCACATTCCCCGGGCTCCAGGCTGCTCACTGCGCCACCTGCCGGGATACGCCCGGAAGTTCACGAGGCTGCACCTCTGCGGGGCGCCAGGGGTTTGCTCCGACGTTCCAGGACCGCAGGGCGGGCGGGCGTCCATGGCAACCTGCATTACGCGAGGATTTCGCTGCTCGCCACCAGCCAATGGCAGCGGACGTGACGGAGGCTGCCTGTGGCATCTGAGCCCTCGACGCCCATTGGGCAGGCTCGTGGCCTATCCCCGCAGGCCGCCGCCGCAGTGGGCGGGGCTGGTGCCGTTCAGCACATTCCCCGGGCTCCAGGCTGCTCACTGCGCCACCTGCCGGGATACGCCCGGAAGTTCATGAGGCTGCACCTCTGCGGGGCGCCAGGGGTTTGCTCTGACGTTCCAGGACCGCAGGGCGGGCGGGCGTCCATGGCAACCTGCTCTACGCGAGGATTTCGCTGCTCGCCACCAGCCAATGGCAGCGGACGTGACGGAGGCTGCCTGTGGCATCTGAGCCCTCGACGCCCATTGGGCAGGCTCGTGGCCTATCCCCGCAGGCCGCCGCCGCAGTGGGCGGGGCTGGTGCCGTGGCCCAGCTGTCTGGAGCCGCTTTTCTAGAGAAGGCGATCGGGGCGCCCTTCTGGAGCCCCGAGGGGTGTCGGGGTAGGTGGCTAATTGCTCAGTAGACAAGGCCACAGAGGAAATGCTGGTCGAGACGGTGGCCTGAGTACTTTACAGAGGGGACCCACTCTCCCAGCCACGCTTAGGTTGTGAAGTGGGTGTTCCTGAGGCCCGAACCGGGTGGCCTCTGCAGGTGGATCCTCTAGCTGTCCTGGGGCCGTGCACACTGGCTGCTATGTGATGAGGACGCTCTCGTTAGCTTTGCAGATTAGAGTGCTCATGGCAGTGCTTGATGAAGGCAAGGGCTGAGTTACACACCTTTCAGCAGCTGGACAAGCGATGCCGCCCCTGTAGAGGATGCCCAGTTAGTCCCGCCCGCTTCTTATTCCCATTCCCCGCCCTGGAAAAGTTTTTCTTTTGCATTGGGAAGCTGTGATTTAGGAATGTTGGGGAAGGCAAATAAAGCAATATATTAGTCATACAAAATGCAAAAGTGTGTGGAGGGGGAGTTGCTCAGACATAGCCAACTAGACATTTTTGTGTACGTCCTTCAACCCACAGGCAGTTTTTCTTTTACAAAATTAGTATCATACTAGACCTTGTGTTCTGGAGCTTTTCTCCATTCAGCAATACATCATGAACTGTCAGTAAATATTCTACATTGTGGTTTTTACTGGTGACTGTATCCCATCATGTAATTTTTTATCAGTTCCTTTTAATTGTTGGATACTGTGATTAGCTAAACGGTGACAAGCATTATCTCAGTATCCTCAAGAGTTTCCTTAGGAGAGGAGCTGCTGGTCAAAAGGAATATCTTCCCATTACCAGGAGGACAAGGTCCCCACCTTCCAGTGGGGGCTGGCCTTTTGGGGAAGGGAAAAGTAGTTCCTTTGTGTTCTGTGAGTCCTTTGATCTCCTCTGGGTTCCAGTCCTCATTTCAGTATCGTCCTCTTAACCCCTTCCCATCTCTTTGTTCATCTGTGAGATGGGGATAACAGTTGATCCCTTCCCCTATTGGTTGGTTATGAAAATTGAAAGAATATATGTGAAAGCATGTTGCAAACTAATCCTCCAAGCAACATCATAGTTACTGTTACAGTTACTATGTGTTGTGAGCTTGGGGTCAGAGCCTGTTTCCTCATCCTGTGGATTCAGCAGGTGTCCACATTCACCTGGTTTGTCTGTTTGCAGGAAGAACGCTGTGGAGCTGGAACTTGCCAAGTGCAAGATGGACATGATGTCTCTGAACAGCCAGCTGCTGGATGCCATTCAGCAAAAGCTGAACCTCTCACAGCAGCTTGAGGCTTGGCAGGTAAATAAGAGCCCTGAGACCCAGGGCAAGAGAAGACTCCAAGAGGAGTCTCTGAACCCAGGCAGAGTTTGCTACGAGAGGGTCCCATGTGACTGTGTGAACAGTAACCCCTGTCTTCACCTGACAAAACCCAGAGCTCACATTCCCCTAGTCCCTGGGGTAGAATGGCTGCGGATACTCTGGAGAGTGACAAACCCCAGGCTGCTGCTGTTTGGGGCTTTAATGACCTCCAGACTTGGAATGGGGCCCTCCTTCAGCTGGTCATCTGGGCTTTATTTAAATAAGGCCCGAAAGGCCTCTACGACTCAATGAAAATTCACAGTTGGGCACAATTCAGTAACTCTTGAGCAGCTGGCAGCTGCTACTGTTCCCTTTCTAAAGGCCAGCTTCCTTTTTCCAAAGAGTGCTGTGCTGGTGCAGGCCCTGGGGAAAATGAGTCAGTGGATCTATGTCTGGGGCCACCATTTTCAGGGTCCAACCTGGCTCCCCATGGGCTGGGGCTGTGACTGGCTTTTTGTTGTTATGATTGGGGTAGTACAATTTTAGGATATGGGCATAACCTTTAATGTTTCTCCCCCAAGAAATCCTAACTAGACAGATGAAAAGCCACCTGCGACTTTGCAAGGCAAGCCCCACCATGGAGGGCAGGTCAGCGGTGACCAGGCCTCCAAGGGCCCCCTGGGCTGGCAGCTGGAGCACTGGCCCCTCGGCTGGTCACTGGCCTGGCCATGCCCCAGCTTACCCGCCTGTTCTCTCTCTTCTTTCCCGGCTACAGTTTGCTTCCTCAGGGCTTTTTACTATCTGGCTCCTTTGGTTTCTGATCTAGTGGCCTTTCTCAGTTCCCGTACCAACAGCTTTAGTTGTCCACCCTCCTGCCTTTGAGGTGAGATTGAGCCTGCTCCCACCCACCCTTTCCACGCTGCCATCATGTCCTGCCCCTGCCGCGCCTCCCCTCGTGACCCACCGTGTTCTGTGTGCCGGAGCCCGGCATCATCTCTGTGCAGTGTGACGTGCCATCAAGACCTGGCCTCGCTCTTCCCATTCATGTCATGTCCAGTGAGCTCCAGGCAGCACATGGCCCAGCATGGGCTGACCCATCTCTGACAGTCTGACCCTGGTTTCTTGGTGTGGCTTTCTCATAAATGGGTCATTTTGCCCACAGAAGTAACAGCAGGCATGGGATTATGAGCAGCATTGCACATGTCTGTGAAGTTCTAAAGTGATATGTTTCAAGGGACTACCTTGACCAGTTTGCTTACAGTATAAAACTGTATTGTGCAGTGAGCCAGAGAAAACATTGGCCGCTTTGAAAGAACTTTTTTCTGAAGGATGCTTTGGCATTCCTATGTTGTATTTAACAACATAGACTTAATCGGGCACATCCTAAGTGAGGGCACTGTACTGATGAGTACACTGGGACCTTGGAAGTAGGGACCGTGAATGGATAAATACCTGGCAAGTGTCAGGTCTGAGGGGCAAGTGGAAAAGGGAGGTGGGAGGAAGATGAGGGCAGGGAAGGGCCAAGAGGAAGGTGAGCATGAAGGACGGGGATGGGAGGAGAGGACAGCAGGAGAGCAGAATGTGGGCCAGGGAAGCAAGAGCTCCACACTCACCACCACCTGGTGATGGGTCAGGAAGGTCCCTTTGTTTCATGCTGAAACCTGCAGAGACATTGGAGTGACACCCTCAGTGAGAGCTTAGGTGAGACACAGGTGATGGACCAGCTGGTTAGGCAGAGGGGCCAGGCCAGCCCAAATTCGTGCCCTCATCTTGTGATTGGCTGCTCAGAGCCACAGAGGTCATCTGCCCTGACTGCAGGGACCCTCACCTGTCCCATGCTCAGACACGAGCAGCTCATTCACTGCCTCCACAGTTCAGCCAAAGTCTCAGGGTCTTTTTACCGGGACATCCCAGAGCCCACCTGGTCCAAGGAAGGAGGATTCCAGCAGATGCTTATGGTTGCAGTTACTTACACGGGCCTGCTTATATTTCTAAACCAGTAGTTTCCAAATTTTATTAGTGGCAGAACCCCTTTGTCAAATGGAATCTTACCGAGATCAGGGGCTAGCAACTGGAATGGGAGGAGAGTGGAGCTGCTCTGCCCAGAAGCCCCATGGAGTAAAAGCTGCTGTTCTGTAAGATGGGGCCAGGGGGCATTTTCTAGTCCACTTAAACATTTTGGAGGGGGCAGGTCTTATCCCCATGAGAAAGCAGAAGGAAATGGGCCTGAGTTATCACAGGTCAGCCCCTGGAGACCATGAAGCCCAGGACCTCTGTCACAGGTGGGAGCTTGCATGTGGGCTGCTGGTGGCCCGTGGGCAGCAGCAGCTCAGATTGGAAAGGATTAGAAGGGGAAAGGGGCAGGAGAAGCCCCCTGAGGCCAGGCCATGGGCTGGAGAGCCAGCAAGCTGAGCTCGCCCTGAGGCCTGGAGGGTGGGGGTGACAAACCAAGCCGGAGGCACTGGACAACCCAAGGGGACAAGGAGCTGGGCAGAGAGGGCTGATGTAGGGACTGCATCATTAATCTGGGCATGAAGGGACAGACCATCTGTGTGCTCAGCAGAGGGGGGTGGCGGTCAGGCAGGGATACCACTGGCCAGGATAAGCCAGCCCAAGCCCCAAGGAGATGAGGCACCATGAGGCCCCGTGTACGTCCTCGCCGTGACCAATCTCACCGCTTTCTAGTTGAATGGCCCTGGCTGCAGACGCTCACTCATCTGATCCCTCATCATCTCTCATCCTTCCTTTGACATTTGCCACTTCCCTGCCCACCCCAGAGGTCAGTGCCTCTGCTCAGTCCTGGCCATTCTTCCTGCAGGATGACATGCACAGAGTCATTGACCGGCAGCTGATGGACACACACCTGAAGGAGCGTGGCCGGCCTGCTCCTGCCTTCTCCAGGGGCCACGGCGCAGGGCGGGGGGACGAGCCCAGCACCACCGAAGGCAACAGGCTCTTCTCATTCTTCAGGAAGATTTAAGTTGGGAGTAGTCGGGCCACGGAGGGTGGGTGGACAGAAAGTGGCTGATAGGTCACGTGGGCAAGGGCCTCCTGCAGCTTGGGGCTTGGCTGCTGTGCCACCTGCCCGCACTGGGTCCAGTCAGTCCCAGAGGGCCCACTCCATGTGTTGGTGGGGATGGGGACCAAGAGGTGGGGCCTGCCTGGCCTCTGCAGGCTGCCCTCCACAGCAGGATGGGGAGGAGCCCCGTCCCCACTTCCTGGCCAAGACGAAACCTGGGCTTCCCTAGGATACCCTTACCGAGCAGGGCTCAGGCCACCTCCAGAGTGGCCCCTTGATTGGGCTCTGCCTCTCAGACCCAGTGGATTGTGGCCCACTCTGCAGGCACTGCTGCCTCTTCGGTTTTAGAAAACTGGAGAGAAGAAATGGAGGCCCTTCTCTGCATGCCTCAGGAGGCCTGAGCCTCCGTTCCCTCCCCAGCCCCTGACCCGGGGAGTAAGGGGAGACTGCAGCCCTCATCCACGCGCATGCCCCTCCGCTGGAGCACCTTTGTGGGCAGGAGCCTGACCCTAGCTTGGTTGAGGCCATCCCCTGAGCCCAGGGAGGAAGAAGGGCCCTGTCCCCTGGCTGCCACTGCTGTCCCTCCCTAACCTCCTCCAGTGCAGTCCTTCCCTTGTTGTGGGGTCGGGACCAAGCAGTGTGTTCTTGCTGGCCCTCTGCAGGCTTTAGCCACTCAGCCTGTTCCCCTTCATAGGGCCTGGGCTGGGAGGGATCTCCTCCATGGTCCCCTGCTCCCCTCACATATGCAACTTCTTGGCTCAGCCAAGCAAGTCCAGGCCACAGATGGTCCCAGAGGAGTCTGTGGGTCAGCCACCTCCATGTCAAGAGTTCAGCACCACAGAGTGGATGGGGGAGGCTGCTGGGAGCCTCCAGATACTGCCTGCCAGGCCTGCAAAAGGACCAGGCCTGCAGACCGCAGCTTCTGCTCCTGCCTCAGCAGCCACTCCACTCCACCTGCTCTGCTGAGTTAGGCCCAACTCCAAGGCTCTGCGGGCCGGGCCAGCCCACAGCTTCCAACTGACCCAGTCTCCCTCCCTCACACGGGACAAGCACAGCAGGGATGAGCAGAAAGAATGTACCTATAGATATGTACATACCACAGTGCTGTAATTTTGTATGTAGCAATCATGTAAATACATGTATGGATTTTATAATATACATATATACAAATCTATAAAGGCATATTTTTAGAAAAACAGCACACCACTGCTTCTTTTGGAAATAGTCTGAAGAATAAAATGAATTTCTACAGAGCTTCTTGCCTGTCACTGGGCATGGGGAGGGGTTGCCTGGTCCAAATGCAGCTTCCATGTCAGACCCACCACTGGCTAAGAAAGAGGTGGCAATAGTGGGTCCCTGCACTCGGGAGGTCACCTCATACACTGGTACCCAATCAGTGGGTTCAGCCAGGAAGGGACACTTCTCATGCAGCGGGCAGCAGGCCTGCTTGCACTGCTTCCCAGGCTGAAGGCAGGGCCCTAGAGCTTGGCAGAAACTTCCAGCCAGAAAGAAAACACTCAGGCAAAGGCTTCCACCACATCCTTCCAGGCACGTGAGGAGTAAACATGGAGCTTCTCCTGGCGTCTTACCACATGTGCTCCCAGCCGATGCATCAAACTAGAGGGGAAACTCAACCCTGGACCAATGGTTCATGGAGAAAAGGGGCTTGGCTTCCAAAAGTGTCCCAGGACCTTGACAGGCACCTGTGCAAGATTTAGGTCAAGAACAAGCTGGACACACTGGATGGAAAGAGGCCAGGCCCACCCAGAACACAGCTGGAGGGAGAGCAAACAGACCCTGGGAGAAAATTTGGCAGCTTGAACCTTTATTTTTAGTATTTTTTTAAAAAGCATAATTAGAAACTTTCAATACAGAAATAATCCTAGCAAACCATTTAAAAGTTTTGATGTTTGACAGATATTTCACATCAGGCTCACCAGGACGTAGGTCCAGCCCCAAGTCTCCCACCCTCACCCCCTCATGCACGTAACACTCAGTGGGACCAAAATCACCTGGGTCTGGACATCCAGTTGCCAGAAGCCATGGGGGCTTCAAGCTTTAGCTGGAAGTTCCCAGGACCCGCTTCTTATTGCTTGAATTTGCAAGCACCCCCTCCTGGCTTCGCCTCAATATGTCCACACCACTGCAGGAGCCCCGAGCTCTGTGCATGCCCACGGGGCCCATGGTCAGCCAGGACAGTCTGAGGACAGAGACCCAGCTCATGCTCCCAGATTCCCCAGATCAGACAGGGCTGCCTGCTGGCAGCCCTGCAGCCCCTCCCTGGCACCCGCCTTCTAGGCCCCCAGTACTCCCCACCCCCTCCTGCAGCTCCAAAGTGAAGGCCTGTCACACTCAACCACCGGCTTTTGGTAGTTTGGGCAAGTGGAGAGACAGGTGAGAAGAAACCCCCAGTCTTTATTGATTAAAAACCCATCCACAGTGTTAACATGGAAAATCTGCAGCGTGATCTGTGATGTGATTGTCCAATCAGGGCTTTGCCTGGAAATCACCTAGGAAAGGAAATCTAACAAAACACATCATGGCATTGAAATAAATTCCTCCCAGGTTGCATGATCCTTTTAGGGGAAAGGGGAACAAAGTGGCCAGGGAGGAGTGGAAGGGATCAGTATTCAAGTGCAGATGACCCTGGTTTTTCCTCCAGGGGACTGGGTGGGTCAGAACTGGCTGTCCCCAAGCCCCACTACCATTCCTTCCCACCTGCTAAGAAATCATCCTGCCACCTCCACACTAAAACTGTCCCATCAGTGATCCGTGGCTGCCTGTTGTCCCAGCTCAGAGTTGTCATTCCCATGGTCCAGCAGCCCCTGGCACTCACTCCCCACATTCAAAGGTGCCTGGTGCTGCATTGTAGACTGTGGAACTCCAGTGGGAGGCCCTAAGCTGACACAGACAAGGGTGGGAGGCCACCTTTCCCTTTCCCACCAAGAAATGGCCAAGAGCTCAACCCCACAATGACAGGAAGCCATTCACTTTTTTCTAAAAACACTGGATCCAAAGTGGGGCAGCCACAACTTTTGCTGCTGTGCCAGCAAAAAATTCTATCCTCAAGGATAGAATCGCGAGGAACTTAATTCATTTGATTTGGCTTCATTTTATCTGTTAAAATAATGCTCCTATAGCTCCTCTGTAAGTCCATCTCTGCACAAATATACCCCTACCTTTCTGTAGAACCAAAATATGGTGGTATAAATTAGAAACCACAACTCCCCTGGGTTTGTAGCTCAGAGGTGTCTAGAAGGCAGGACAAGAAATCTGCTTGCCAAAGGGCAGGACTGTCTGCCTCTGTGGAACTGAAGGGCCGGGGCCGGCAGAGGGCAGGGCCTGCCTCAAGGCTGGGCTTCCCAGAGAATGAGGAGGGGAGGGAACCGGCCCAGGCCCCAGAGAAGGGGGAGACCCTGCAGCCTGTAGGAGAGAATGAGCAACACAGGGCCTGCTCCACCTGCCCAGGATGGCCAAAGCTGCGGCTAGGATGTGACGCTGTCTCCTTGGCAGGCTGCTGGCAGTAAGACAGGGTGGGGAGGGGAACTGGGAGGGTCTGTGGCAGCAGGTTGGCATTAAGGAGGCAGAAGCCAGAGCGGGACGAGGGTGTGCAGCTGGCTAAAGCAATATACATTATGTACAAACTCTGGTTAATCAGTTCGCTCGGTTGGTAGCATCCTCGCCAGGTCCAGGCGCCTTGGCAGGGAGGGGGCACCAGTGGGGAAGGGCAGGCTTGTTCAACACCGTCTTGGCACTCGAGGGGAAAGGGGAGGAAGTGCCGATGGCGCCTCCCAATACAAAAAGTGGAGAGAATTCTTTAAATAACGGCACGAAACTGAGACTGTCCCCCGAGGAGTGCCCCCGCGGGCCTCAGGCTGGGGGAGGGACCGCAGTGCAGTCTCTGCGTGGACGGGGGCGGGGGGGCGCATTAGCAGCAGCGTTTCTTTCGTTTACTGTTCTTCGTGAGCTTCACCACGTCGTTCTGTTGCTGCTGCTGCTGTTTTGCCAAGTTGTCCTTCTTTGCTCGGAGGACCAGCTCCGTGATGCAGTTAAACATCTGCGGAGATGAAGAGGCAGGTGGGCTCAGAGCAGTCGGAGGTCCTGCCAGCCCCTTGGCCGCCTCCCCGCACCAGCTTTCTCTATCTACTCATGGAGGCTGTGTACGCGTGTCCTCAAAATCCTTTCTAGAAGGAGGTGGTGAATTATTTTATTCAAAGGTCAAAAAGGAACATCAAAGACTCATAAGCTGTGTAGACTTGGGGAAGTCAATCTCTCAGGGATTTTCCAGTCTTTTTTAATAGAAAGAAAGAACCCCTTTCCTTCAGCCAGCACATCTCATGAAACAGATAAAGGTGGCCCTGCTCTGCTGATGGGCAGCAGGGGACTCACTGCCCTCCCACTCCATGCCACCTCACTACATGTGGGGCCCAGAGGTCCCACCTAGAACATTTTCCAGACCACCCGACATCCTTCTGATGCCAGGATCCAGTGAAACTCTATCTACCAATCCACACTCCTCTCCTCCACTCTGCCCAGGAAAGGCGAACAAGAGGAACCATGGTGGTGGGAGCAGGAGGCATTAAGAAGCTGAGCCAACATCTCCAAAGCACGCACTGCATGTCAATCCTCACAACCTGGAAGGCAGGGACTCTCTCCCCACCAAATCTACAGATGAAGACCACAGAGGTTAGTCCACCTCCCAAGGTCACACCAGTCCCACCCACAAGCCCCAGGTGAAAAGGCCAGGATTTTGATCCTAGCCCTGACTCTGAGGAGCCTGTGCTCCCTGCCACTGTGTCATCCATGTCCCTGATGCAGTGGGGAGCCCGACTTCCCTGGAGCCTCTGGACTCCACACACCATGAGGCAGGACTCCCCTAAGTCCGGTGAGTGGGACCGGCTGGGCTTCTGGCTGAAGGTCAGACTTTTCTCCCAAACAATTACAACTGCCTTCCAGCAGGCCCGGCAGAAGTGAAAGGGATGCAGCCTTGGGCAGAGGCGCAGCCAGTCTGTAGGGCTGTGCACCCCCAGGAGCCTCTGCAGAGCTTCAGCAGGCGCCCGTCTAGGCTCTGGAGGCCACAGCAACGTAACCCGGTCTTTGCAGGGAGGCCAAGGCCCCAGCAAAGGCCAGAGCAGGAAGAGGTGACAGTGGGTCCAGGGAGGGCCCACAAGGCAGAGGACTGCAATGGAAACTTGCGTGGCTGTGGTGTGGAACAGATCTAAGTTGGACTCAGCCTCTTACTAAGTGCATGGTAGTCCTTAAGTTATGTAAATACTTGGAACCTCGGTTTCCCTATTTGAAATGTGGGAATAATTATGCTGAGCTCAGAGGACAGTTGTAACATAAGCTAAGACCTTTAAAGGGCCTGACAAGATAACTGGCACACAGCAAGCATTCAATAGCTAGTCATTCCTGTGACATTTTCCTTTTTTTTCCCCCTAGCAGCTGGCCAATGTGGTGTTGGGATCTGAACCCTTGACTTGATGTTATCAGCACCACATTCTCCCAACTGAATTAACTGGCCAGCCCTACTATAAGCTTTTCTGCTGGTCCCTTAGATGCTCTAAGCAAGCAGGTTAGGAGAGGGGGAGAAGGGCCCCACTACCCCAGCCTTGCTCCAGCACAGGACCGTGGCCACTCCTCACCTCTTCCACGTTGACATTCTCCTTGGCGCTGGTCTCAAACAGCTGGATCCCCATCTGCCCGGCAAATTTGTAGGCATCTTCTGTCTCCACCACCTTCCGCTCAGGGTCATCATTCTTATTGCCCACTTCAAGGAAAACAAAGTCAGCCCAGCCCTGTGACAGCACCTCCTGCCACCCTCCACCGCGTTGTCCCCACCCCTCTAGGTCCAGCCTCACCTAATATCCGGCACACATCATCACAGTTCTGGTTGATTTCATGAAGCCACCTCTTGACGTTGACAAAGGACTCAGCACTGGTGACATCATACACCACAATGACCCCATGGGTCCCCCGGTAATACCTGTAGGGCCAGGTTGTGCATCAGAACTTCAGCCCAGACAAGAACAGCCCTTTCCCCAGTACCACATTGCTGCCCACATCGGGACAGCGGCCAGGGGAACGATGAGGGGGTAGCAAATGCTTCACCCATGGTCCCCAGAGTCCAAGCTCTCCACCAGCCTCAGCTGACATGCCTGAGACACACCTGTCTCTAGGGCACTGGTAGAGCAGGAGTGCTCAGCCCTGAGGTGGCAGACCAGGTCTCAGGAGTCACCCAGGTTGTTCAGAGTCTGTCATGAGCTTGAAACTTCTTTGAAGTTCTCATTTTATTTTTAGAATTCAGGCAAATTTTTGTATTTGACATCATGTTATCAACTATCCTTGTCTGAACATTCAAAACAACTCTCCCTCCTCAAATCTGTTTTAGTCAGATACCATTCTCAGAAGTTGCACCATTCATGAAGACCTGGCAGGGCTGCGTCCCCTCCCTGGAGCAGGTGGGCCCGTCCCTGCCTGCCAGTCCTGGCCATCCATGCTATGGCAGGAAGAGTGTGGAAGCTGCATTGGCATCCAGGGCTGGCTGGGAAGAGGGGGCCTGGCTATGCCATCATCTAAGCGTGCAGCCCCCAGGCCAGCTGGCAGTTATGGAAGGAAGGGGAATGTCATACATTCCTCTCCAGACTCCACATCCCCATTCATTCGATGGCTCAGGAGGACAGATGAAGAGAAGGACTGGGGCCTATACTTCCCTTGGAGCCTTCCTGGAGCTGGCGGCCAGGAGCAGCCCTGCCCCAACACTACATGATTGCCAGGAGCTGTAACCTTTCTCAATCGTCAACCTCCCAGCTGCTACCTGCCCCAGCCCCAACAGCTCCAGGTTCCTGGGGCTTCTCAGAAGAGCAGCTCCCCTGTGACCCCACACCCCAGTTCTGAGGCAGCACCAGCACCGTGGGCTGAACAGGGACACACAGCCCCACTCTCATCCGCCACCATCAGCTCTCTGGCCACCTCTTCACATCTGAGGCCTAATCCCAGGCCAAAGACCAACCCTGGCTCCAGCTGTGAAAGGCTGTGGACCTTGGAAAAGTGACTGCATTCGCCTCACCATGCCTCGGTTTCCTCTACTATTGCAACAGGGCTCCCAGTGCTGAACTCTGGGGGTGGTTGTGAGGAGGAGAGGGGAGGAGTAAGCAGTCAATGTTGGGTGCCCTTTGTTATCACTGCGAATGTTCCTTCAGTGACAATCTGGGCTCCCTGACAGAGGTGGCAGCAGGGAGTGGCAGCCCTGGACACTGCAGGGCTGGAGCGAGAGCAGCTCCTGCTGTGCTGGAGGCCAAGGCCCTCCACCCTTCAGCCAGCCACTGAGATCTGCTCCCTCAGCTTGGCCTCCAGGGCTGAAGCACTCACTCCCAGCTCCAGGGAGCTGTGACTGTCAAGGTGTCTGGTGGCTCTCAGCAGCTGCTGCTGAAGGCGTGGCTCACATGTGGTGCAACTTGGTAGACGCAGGAGTATGTGCAGGGACCACGGGGACAGATGTCTGGCCCTGCCAACAAAGGAGGTGTAAGCAGCAGAAGGCCTCGCAAAGTCTCCTTGGTGGAGGACTGCTGTAAAAGATGCCAAGAAATGCCCATGGCCCGGCACAAAGCCCCTGCTGCTCCCTGGGAAGCTCCACCTTCTCTGGGGACTAGGGAAGGGCTTTATCTAAGAGCAGGGACCTAGTCTGGGCACAAGGTTGGGGCTCAGAGCTCTGGCCAGGAGGGCACTGGTGCTCCTGGGCCTCCCACTCCTATCACCGCCAGCAGTCACCTCCCTTGCCAGAACCCTGCGCTGAGTGCTTAGATCCTCTACCTTACTCATCTTTGTGACAGCTGGGCCCAGCAGACTTCAAGAAGGCCCTTCTACCAGTGAGGACATGAGGCTGATGGCAGAGTGATCAGCAGAAAGTCCTGGGCCGTGCCAGGGGCTTCCCTCCCCCGACTCCTCCCTCAGCCGCACCTTGCAGGGCCAGCGAACCCCAGCTGCCAAGAACAAGAATTTGCCAGGGCGACGACAGGGCTCTTCTCACCAGACTAACAGGAGGCAGCTTCGGTTGCTGTTTCAAGCCCCAAATAAGAAAAAGTCATGCTGCTGCCCCCTGACTGCCCCATCCCTGAAACTCCTGAACTACCCCCAAGACTCCCTCTTTCTTTGCCAGTGACCATCACGGGGCGTACATTCTTTCTTCCTGTGCAGAAAAAGTCATGCTGCTGCCCCCTGACTGCCCCATCCCTGAAACTCCTGAACTACCCCAAGACTCCCTCTTTCTTTGCCAGTGACCATCACGGGGCGTACATTCTTTCTTCCTGTGGCCCCTCAGCAGGCCCTGCAGTGCTTCACGAGGGTCAGAGCGAGGATCCTAAGACAGGGCAAACCCCGAACCCCCCGGACAGCCAACCAGCACGCAGGCTGCCCCCACCTCCAGCACCTTGTTGGCACCAACCCGCACTGCCCTCAGGAGGCTAAGTAACAGCTCCAAGTCTCCCCAGTAGCATAAGAAGTCGGGTCACCCTCTTCCTACCCTGCCCTGAAGGGAGCTGAGCGGTCCTGGCAACCAGGAGGGGTCGCAGCTCCTCTGCTGAAAGGCCTCAGACACCCGGCTGCCATCCCACCCACAGCATCTTGCAGCGACAGGCCTAATGGTCTCTGCCACCCTGAACCCCTTGCAGGTGGTAATGAACCCCAGGAGGTAGGCACTAAAGCAGGCATCTGACAGCCCTCACTTCATATCCTAGCCCGCCAAGCTGTGTCACCTAGCCCTGTAAAAAATGTAGATAACCACAGGACTCTTCATAGGGATTAAACAAAAAAGTTGGTGAAGTCTCTAGCAATGGCCTGACCTAGAGTAAGGACATGTGGGGTCAGTGCCATTCTGATCCCTACAAGAGGTTGTGTCTCACTCAGGCCTTCATGCTCTGGGCTTCCTGCAGCTCTCCACGTCGACCCTATACCAAGGTCCCCACTGACAGCTGCTGAGATACATAGGGGCCAGAGAGCCCTTGCTGGGCAGCTTGGCAACAAGTCATTGCAGGAACCCGCAGGGCTGCAAGGAGTCACGGGCCACGGCACACGTGCTCACCACAGAGCGAGGACAGTGACAGTAACCCCTCCAGCTCAGGGGCTGCTCAGGCTCCACCTACAAATGCTTGGCCCAGTGCAGCCCCCACAGCAGCCAGCAGCCCTGCTCGCCCCATGCTGCCAGCCACAACCGGGGGGGCACTGCACCCTCACACTCCGAACCCTCAGCAGATCCTGAAGGGCCCGGGATGGGCAGGCAGCCGGAGGTCCACCCTGCTTCCATGCTGAAGGGAGGCAGGATCTCTGGCTAGGGAACCTCCTGATCCACTCACAGAGGAAGCGAGGAGGCCAGGGAGGTGCCTGCAGAAGGCCTGACACTGGCCCCTGCTCTGCTGCATACTCTGCGGTGCGGAGCTCGGGATCTGCCATCATTGGGAGCAGACCACTTCTCAGAAGTACCCTCATCTGCAAAATGGGGACCGTAACAGCACCAACCGCACAGAGCTGCAGGACAGCTCACCAAGATAATCCACACAAAGTCCAAAGCAGAGTACCTGCACACAGGACTTAGCATTAATGCAAATCCTGAAGATCAACTCTCCGGGAAAATGAAGCACAGAGAATTTAGGCAACTTGCCCACGGTCACACAGCACAACAGAAATTTAAATTCCAAACAGTCTGCCTTCAATCCCTGCTCTTTCCTGGAACCTGTTCCATAAACAGCTCAAGAACCAAGGGTAAGACTCCTGCTGCTCAGAGATACAGCTGGATTTTCCTCCTGTTCACAGCTCAGACCTACAAAGGTGCTGCAGCAGCAAAACAGTTTTACCAGTAAATAGCTCTGGGGAGGTAGCGAAAGGGCCTCCCAAGAGAGAGCCACCTCTAAGGAGTCAGGGTGGAAGGCGGAAGCCTGCACAGGCCGACCCCGGCTGTCACAACTGACACCTACTAAGATGAACTGTCACTAAGTGTCCGCTTGGGCAGGGCACTTCACAACCACCTGGTGGGGTAAGCATCACTGCCATTGCCATTTCAAGGTAAAGAAACTACAGGCTAGCAGGTAAGCTGACTGCCTGGGGGAGGGTACATGGTCACTGTCCTGCCAGACTCCAGAGCCAGGGTGCTCAGCCACTGCCTGCCACCCCTGGGCAGCAGTCACACCACGCCCCTGCCTCCTCTGACATCTTCAGGAAAAGGAAGGGGACCGCTCACTTCCCGACAGCTACAGGGACCCACCCAGTGACATTTCTCCCACGACCCAGCACTGGTCACTCAACTGCGTCCACACATCGGCAGTGAGGGGTTTGAAAGTAAGCAGGGCAGGCTGACTTACGTGGAGGTGATGGTGCGGAAGCGCTCCTGCCCTGCTGTGTCCCAGATCTGCAGCTTCACCTTCTCCCCGTTGATCTCCACAGTCCGGATCTTGAAGTCCACCCCGATTGTAGTGATGTAGCTGCCTGCACACACAGCACGTTAGCAAGGCCCAGCCCAGTGCCCCAGCTGGCCCCCATGGCCCACACTGCACAGGGCAGGCCTCAGGCTCCACCATCCCACCCCACGTGTTCTACATGTCCCACACATTCTAGGTCCTAGGGACAGAACTGAACAGGGAAAACAGGGCCCTGTCCCGATGGAGCCCACCCACAAGCCCCTATGGAACCCACAAGTGAGGTGGAGGTGGTGGAGGTGACAGACAGGATACAATGAAACATATTAAGACAATTTCAGAGACTGAAAAGTGCAGGTGATATGACGGAGGAAGAGGGACCGGTTCCTTTAGAGTAGCCGGGATGGGGACATGTCAGCTGTGACCTGAGAATGGTGGCAGACTTATGATACGCTCTGGGTTTTTCTTTTCTATTCTATTCAAAAAATGTTTAATGACCCACAAAATTAACTTCCTAACACAAAAACAGGTCATGACCTAAAGTCTGAAGAACACTGCTCCAGATAGAGACAGTAGCAAAAATAGCGACAGGGTGTGTGGGTTCATGTGAGGTCAAGCACACAGCAAGAGGCAGATTGAGGGGGGCTAAGGCCAGATCTCTAGGCCCTTGTGTCATTTTTGAGAATTTAGAGCTGCATTTTTTTTTTCCTTTTTGTCTTTCTTACTGACCGGTAACAGGATCGCAACCCTCAGTGTCGCACCCATACCGGGGACCGGCAACGGCCTTTTTGTCTTTCTTACTGACCGGTAACAGGATCGCAACCCTCAGTGTCGCGCCCATACCGGGGACCGGCAACGGGATCGCAACCCTCGGTGTTGCGTCCGCACCACACTCAGCCAGTGAGCGGGAACCAGTCTCCACATGGGATCCGAACCCTCAGCGGGAGCGCCGCTGCGCTCCCCAGCGGCGCACTCTCCAGTGCGCCACTGGGCCAGCTAGAGCTGCATTTTATTTTATTTTATTTTATTTTATTTTTTGTTTGTTTTTTGTCTTTTTTCCGTGTCCGGCAACGGATCGCAACCCTCAGTGTTGCCCCCGTACCGGACCGGGGACCGGCAACGGGATCGCAACCCTCGGTGTTGCGTCCGCACCACACTCAGCCAGTGAGCGGGAACCAGTCTCCACATGGGATCCGAACCCTCAGCGGGAGCGCCGCTGCGCTCCCCAGCGGCGCACTCTCCAGTGCGCCACTGGGCCAGCTAGAGCTGCATTTTAAATCACTCTTTTGGGGCATCTGTGTGAAAGATGGATTTGAGGAGAATTTCTGGCTGAAATTCTCTAGTCAAGGGTTACCAAGCCCTGAACACTATGAAGAGCATGGGTTTTCACTCCATTTGGAGTCTACAATATAACACAGTGCAGGAGACAAGACCTACACACAAACGACTATATGAAGTGTGGCCAAGTGTATAGGAAAGGTCAAAGTTCAAGGTGGGGTGGAGATCAAAGCAAGCTTCGAGGAGGAAGTCACATGTGGGCCTGGCTTGAAAGAAAGAAGAAGATTTCAAAGGCTGAGATCAGGTGGAGAAAAGACATCCCACACAGAAGCCAAGAGCCACGGCCAAAGCACAGCCGGAATCCATTCAGTAAACAAGCCAGCACCCGGTGCTCTTCCAGTCCTGATGATGCCCAGGAGCGCAGCGCAGCACCTGGCTCAGTCAAGCACTCTGTAGGAACCGATGGGTGAATGAATGAGCAAGCGAGTGAGCAAAAAACCACCGAAGAATGAACAAGCAGGATGAGGAAGAAAGCTGGGAAAGTGAGCTGAAAACAGATTACAAAGACCAGTGTATCTAGACTGGGGATGATTTTGTCCCCCTTACAGGACTCTTGGTAATGTCTGGAGACATTTTTGGTTGTCACAACTGGAGGCGGGGAAGTGCTATTGGCGTCTAGGGGGTACAGCCCAGGGATGTTGCTCAACATCCTTCAACACACAGGACAGCCCACAACGAAGAATTACAGGGCCCAAAGAGTTATAGTGCCAAAGTGGAGAAACCATGCTGTAAACTCTGCTCAGATGAGGGAGCCACTGGGGTTCTTAATCAGAGGGAAGACCCTGCAGAGACATGCATTAGCAAGATGATTTAGTAGTCTAGTCCAGGGTGGGTAGGAGCTGCCAGAATGCTTCTGACTAAAACCAACAATGAACTGAGACACTGGTAGTAGAAATGGAAAGGAAGAGAGAGATTGTAAAACACATCCCTCCAAGAGTTAAAAGCTGATTGGATGGGGACTTAGAGGACATCAAAGAGGAAAAGCGATGTTTTCCAACATAATTTGAAGCTGACATTAGTTATCATTCTTGAACAGAATACCAACAACAAAGAGCTGGTATTTATTGTGAGATTTCTTAGTCCCAGGCATCATGACATATGCTCTCAGGTAATGTAATCCTGCAACAACCCCATGTGAGAGGGACAATTACAATTCCCACTTTATAGATGAGCTGAGGATCAGTCACTACCCCGTGGTCACACAGAAAAGCCAACTCTTTCCAACACCACAACATCAGTGATGTTGCAGGGCCCCTGTCAGGAGAAGAAAGCAGACAAAACCCACTTCTCCACCAAGAGAGTGGCATTAGCCACGTACAGTCCACCCTTCGTATCCGTGGGATCCGCATCTGTGGATTCAACCAACCACAGATCGAAAATATTTTTTAATAAACTGCATCTGTACTGAACATATACAGACTTTTTTTCTTGCCATTATTCCCTAAACAATATGGCATAACTATTTACATAGCGTTTATATTGTGTTAGGTATTATAAGTAATCTAGAGATGATTTAAAGTATCAGAGAGGATGGGCATACATTATAAGCAAATACTGCACCATTTTACATCAGGGACTTCAGCATCCGTAGATTTTGGTATCCAAGGAAAGTCCTGGAACCTATCCCTCACGGATACCAAGGGACGACTGTAATCACTTCCTAAGTGTAGCTCACCCCTCAACCACATCAGAGGGATTTCCCCACAAGATAATCACATTTCAGTCCTTATTCAGTGAGGCAAGACCAACCCAACCTCTGTAATGAACTTGATATATTTAACAAGCGAAAATATGTTCAGCTTCACCAGTGATCAGGGAAATACAAATTTAAGTGAGATAGCATTTTTTGCCTATCAGCTTAGCAAAACTGAAGACAACTAAGATCCAGCATTGATCAGAGCAGTCAAGGGGCATTTTCAACCCCTTCAGTGAGAGTGTAAACTGAATTACCACAGCTTCTATGAAAGGCAAGTTAGCAGTACCATGAAAATTTTAAATGCACATACCCTATGATCCCACATTTATAGAAATGTGTGTACAAGAATAAACATACAATGTATCCCAAGTTACGCAGCATCACTTAAAACTGAAGGAACCAGAAGCCACACACATATCAAGAGCACTATTAACGAATTGTGGCGCATCCATGCTTAGCACAGAAAACTTCACAGATGCACAAAAGAACCAGAGAAGTCTGTATAAAGTGACGTGGAAGGATGTTCCTTGATATCTAAGAGGAAAGCAAGTTCTACACTCCAGCATGTGGAGTCCAGAAAAAAGAAAGATACACACCACATGAACAGAGTCTACGAGGGCAACAGAGGTGCAGGTCAGGGACAACTTTCATTGTTCACTTTATTGACATCTTCCTGTTTTGAAATTCTATACAGGCATGTACTATCTTGTAATTTTTTAATTTCTTTTTTTTTTTAAACACTGGGGGGCCGGCCCGGTGGCGCACTGGATAAGTGCGCCGCTTGGGAAGCGCGGCAGCGCTCCTACCCGAGGGTTTGGATCCCACATACAGACCGGTTCCCGCTCACTGGCTGAGCGAGGTGCGGGAGCAACACCGAGGGTTACGATCCCGTTGCCGGTCCCGGTCCGGTATGGGGGCGACACTGAGGGTTGCGATCCGTTGCCAGACACGGAAAAAGACAAAAATAAATAAATAAATAAATAAACACTGGGGCACAAAAAGACCCTAAGTGGGAAAATCATGGGTCAGCAACAGGCTTTTTTTGAACAAGAAGAATTAAGACAGATCGCTGAGGCTTTGACCTGAGCCTGCCTCCATCTTCTTCCCTCCTCTGACAACCAGAATGAGAAAGGTCCCTACAGTAGGCAGAGGCAAGTGTGTCCTGGTGCCAGGGGAGGGGATTTCAAAACCAAAACACCCCAGCAGCACCCCAAGGACATACTCACCTGAGAAAGTGTTGTCTGCAAAACGCAACAGTAAACTGCTCTTGCCCACACCTGCAAGAGAGACAGCACAAGATGAGAGGAGCCAGTGAGTGCCTCCCTCCAGCCCAACTCTTCTTTGGGGAGACGATGCCCAAGTCCTGACTCTTAAGCCCAGTGGGTCCCTGCTCTCTCCTCACTGTTGCTTTCTGTCTCCCCACTCAGCCGCACACTGAACACATCTCTTCCACTCAATTCCTGAACTTCTCCTTCACCCTCCTGTAAGACAAGCTGCTCCCAGACCCCCCAGGGAGAGACGAGAAAGGGCCTCATGCCAAGACCTTGTGCTGAGGGATAGCCCCAGCTGCTCAAAGGGAGAGACCAGGACACAGACAAGGCAGATGGAAGGTCAACCACATGAGACTGGTCCCCCAAGTGCATCTATAACATGGTCCCTAGAAAACTGCACACCAAGTGTGGGGCTTCAGTTAGTGAGTAGCTTGAAAAGAGGAATTGTAGAGCTGCAAAGAACCCTGGAGATCATCAGGACTATCTTGCAGGTGAGGAAACTGAGGCCCTCACAGCTAGAAGCAACGGTCAGCCCTCTTTCCTCAGCTGATATCACTGCAGACTGGGTCAGTGTGGTGGGGAGTCTGCCTTGTGCTCATCAGGCCAACAGCCCATGTGTGCTCAGCCCATTGCACTGACCACAGCAGCTCCTGGCTGCTCATTCCACAAACAGGCGGGAACCATCCTAAGCCTGGCTTCCTCTTGACTGCAACATGCAGCAGCTTCACCCTGCCAAGGGTGCCTGTCCCGTGTCCTCCTGTCCCATCCCTGATCCGCATAACCCGTAAGGCCAGCTGGGTCAACTGACTACAGTAGGAAAGAATTAACATGCATTGAGTTCTGTCTGTTGGTGGGCACTCTGACGCTCCTGTAATTTCAACTACATCTCTTAAGATGAGGAAGCTGAGGCTCCGAGAAGCTGAGCAACTGGCCTAAGGTGCCTCTGCCGGAAGCAGAGGTCCGAATCCAGGGCTGTCTTTTCCAGAGCACTAAAGCTCCTCCCAATACATACTGCTGGGGAGTCTTCCTGCATCTGTTTCAGGAAGGGAAAAAAATGACCCCATAGGGGCTCCTACATCTCACTCCTGTTAATTTAACAGCAATGCCATCAAAGCTACAAGGAGATCTTAATCTTGGGTCTCATAAGCCCCCTGAAACTACATGCAAATTTTGAGTATGTGTGTCTATTTGTGGGAGAAGCCTATAGCTTTTAGCAGATTCTCAAAGACTGCACTGGCTCCACCCCTCCCCCCAAGTAACCAAAGTTGCAAACTACTGTTGCAGAGTAAGTAACAGTTGTGTNGACACGGAAAAAGACAAAAATAAATAAATAAATAAATAAACACTGGGGCACAAAAAGACCCTAAGTGGGAAAATCATGGGTCAGCAACAGGCTTTTTTTGAACAAGAAGAATTAAGACAGATCGCTGAGGCTTTGACCTGAGCCTGCCTCCATCTTCTTCCCTCCTCTGACAACCAGAATGAGAAAGGTCCCTACAGTAGGCAGAGGCAAGTGTGTCCTGGTGCCAGGGGAGGGGATTTCAAAACCAAAACACCCCAGCAGCACCCCAAGGACATACTCACCTGAGAAAGTGTTGTCTGCAAAACGCAACAGTAAACTGCTCTTGCCCACACCTGCAAGAGAGACAGCACAAGATGAGAGGAGCCAGTGAGTGCCTCCCTCCAGCCCAACTCTTCTTTGGGGAGACGATGCCCAAGTCCTGACTCTTAAGCCCAGTGGGTCCCTGCTCTCTCCTCACTGTTGCTTTCTGTCTCCCCACTCAGCCGCACACTGAACACATCTCTTCCACTCAATTCCTGAACTTCTCCTTCACCCTCCTGTAAGACAAGCTGCTCCCAGACCCCCCAGGGAGAGACGAGAAAGGGCCTCATGCCAAGACCTTGTGCTGAGGGATAGCCCCAGCTGCTCAAAGGGAGAGACCAGGACACAGACAAGGCAGATGGAAGGTCAACCACATGAGACTGGTCCCCCAAGTGCATCTATAACATGGTCCCTAGAAAACTGCACACCAAGTGTGGGGCTTCAGTTAGTGAGTAGCTTGAAAAGAGGAATTGTAGAGCTGCAAAGAACCCTGGAGATCATCAGGACTATCTTGCAGGTGAGGAAACTGAGGCCCTCACAGCTAGAAGCAACGGTCAGCCCTCTTTCCTCAGCTGATATCACTGCAGACTGGGTCAGTGTGGTGGGGAGTCTGCCTTGTGCTCATCAGGCCAACAGCCCATGTGTGCTCAGCCCATTGCACTGACCACAGCAGCTCCTGGCTGCTCATTCCACACACAGGCAGGAACCATCCTAAGCCTGGCTTCCTCTTGACTGCAACATGCAGCAGCTTCACCCTGCCAAGGGTGCCTGTCCCGTGTCCTCCTGTCCCATCCCTGATCCGCATAACCCGTAAGGCCAGCTGGGTCAACTGACTACAGTAGGAAAGAATTAACATGCATTGAGTTCTGTCTGTTGGTGGGCACTCTGACGCTCCTGTAATTTCAACTACATCTCTTAAGATGAGGAAGCTGAGGCTCCGAGAAGCTGAGCAACTGGCCTAAGGTGCCTCTGCCGGAAGCAGAGGTCCGAATCCAGGGCTGTCTTTTCCAGAGCACTAAAGCTCCTCCCAATACATACTGCTGGGGAGTCTTCCTGCATCTGTTTCAGGAAGGGAAAAAAATGACCCCATAGGGGCTCCTACATCTCACTCCTGTTAATTTAACAGCAATGCCATCAAAGCTACTATCCCAAGTTACGCAGCATCACTTAAAACTGAAGGAACCAGAAGCCACACACATATCAAGAGCACTATTAACGAATTGTGGCGCATCCATGCTTAGCACAGAAAACTTCACAGATGCACAAAAGAACCAGAGAAGTCTGTATAAAGTGACGTGGAAGGATGTTCCTTGATATCTAAGAGGAAAGCAAGTTCTACACTCCAGCATGTGGAGTCCAGAAAAAAGAAAGATACACACCACATGAACAGAGTCTACGAGGGCAACAGAGGTTTCCACCCCCATCCCCCCAAGTAACCAAAGTTGCAAACTACTGTTGCAGAGTAAGTAACAGTTGTGATTCTCTAAACTTATCTGGGAAATCCTTTCTAAATCTCTCTTCTGGGGACTTTTCCAAGTGAACTCCACCCCTCCCCCCAAGTAACCAAAGTTGCAAACTACTGTTGCAGAGTAAGTAACAGTTGTGTTTCTCTAAACTTATCTGGGAAATCCTTTCTAAATCTCTCTTCTGGGGACTTTTCCAAGTGAATGAGTTGTTCTAGGATGCCCAGAAGAACTTGTTTCACTGAGTAAACCTGTCTTACCTTCCTAAAGACAGGCTGGGGGTCAGGCTCTCCTAAGCTATGCCTATAGCACCTGCCACTCAGTCCCTGGGCCTGCAGCGCTCTTGCTCAGGGCCACTTCCTCATTGCTCTGCCGTGAGGCTTCCTGCTAAGCTCAAGGAGAGCCCAAGTCCTGGGCTGGGTCCTTCCTGGCGCTCTGCCCAACGCCAACACCCCACTGGCCCTGCTGGCTCCTTTGCTTCCTCCTGGAGCCTTCTGGGTCCAGCTTACTCAGCTAAAAGCTTGTGTCTGGGTCACCAGGCTGTGAGTTCTTCTAGGACGGAGACCTCGCCTCACTCACCCTGTGCATTAGGTGTTATAAACCAGGCCCAGCACTTGGTGGGTGCCAACAAAACCCTGCTTAATGAATTTATGACTGACAGCTACGCTATCTATTACTGCAGCATTAACGAGAATAAAGCAGTGGTTTTCAACATTTGGGAGGCAACATAATCTTTTTATTAAATAAAATTGTATCCAAATCACATACATCTAAAACAGATAAGGGGGAGGTACTCTCTGCAATGACACAGCAGTGTCACCTCCATTTACCCGCAGGTCCCTTTGTAGAGCAATTAAAAACCAACAGGCTGCAGAAAGACCACTATACAGTCACCACACTAACTGCTGCTTTGGACCTGATACCAACCTCTGACATTACTCTTCCTCTGAGAACAGAAAGCTACCCTGAGAAATGCCATCTCCGAAATATCCCTGGAGAAGCTTCCTTGGGAAACCACGCTGCTACCATATATCCCATAGTACCAGCCTAAGGGAGGAAGTAGAGGGTACCAGTTTACCTTCACCATAGCCAAAGCTTCCCCATGGCCGCATCCAGTTTGAAACCCAACCAATCCAGCCCCATCATCTTCCCTGCAAGGAGCACGGGCCCCAGTGGCACTTAATGCCCCTTGGCAGCTGCGAGAGCCACTCTCGGTCATCACGGCGCTCCCCTGTTTGCTGCTTCTGGTCCTCCTTGTGCTAATCACACAAGTCTTCACCTCCATCTGCTCCTCCTTTGGACTGTTGCCCCTCACTCCTCTTTGCTTCAGTTCCAGCCTCTTGAAGACCCTCAGACCCTTGAGTAAAGTGATCTCAGTTTAAATCCAGCCTCAGCAACTACCTCACTGTATAGCCTGAGACAAGTCACATCCCCTCTCTGAGCCTCAGTTTACTCACCTGTAAAGTTAAGGGCTTTAACTAGATCTCTGAAAGCCACTCCAGCCTCCAGATTCTGAGAAGGAGGATGGCTGGTCCAATGGATGCAGATGAAATGCTGTTACAAATCAGAGCCAATTTCAGAAAATCTTAAGAGAAAGTGCAGAACCTCAGGCATAAAGAAGAGACTTAAAAGCCAAGGGGATACATTCCAGAAGCATGTACGATGTGGCAGAGTGGGAAGAAGAATTCTAGGTTTATAAAGAAACTAACATTCATTGAGGGCCTACTGTTTGACAGCCCTGACACCAGCTGCTCTCACACATATTAGCATAGATATGCATTAACTCCCAGCTTTCCCTCTGACAAGCTGTGCAATTTTGAGCCAGTCACCTTCTCTGAGACTTTGTTTCTTTATTTGACAACCTACCCAGACAACAGATGAGAATCAGATGAGAGAGTGTCCATGAAATCATTTGATACACCTTAAGGAGGCACGCACTCAAGGAGCCGGGTCCAGGGGAGTGCTCAGGCTTCCTGCTCAGCTGCCAAAGGTTAGTTTGAAGTCCCATGGCTACCATCTCCTGTATCCTAAGTGTTCGGCTTTGAGTATCAGCTCACTGTCAGGAGAAATTAAACAGCAAAGCATCTATCTCCTCTACACAACCAGGGCCTACATGCCCATACTGAACTAGGAGCCAGACCACATAAATCTTGACCAAAGAGTCTTCTCCCATGCCTGACTTCTGAGTGAAAAATCAATACTCCATGCAAAATGTACTGTGAGAAAGCGGGCCAAAACCATCCCCTGGGTTTTAGTGGGGAGAAAAGCCAATAAGCTGCATCTTCTTGCTGAGTTTAGGTTTTTCATTTCTCGATATCAACGCCCAGGCCCAACATGTCTTTCAGAGGGATAAAGACCCTGACTATGGAGGCTGACTTTAACTCCAAAAGGAGAGAAATCACCCTGGTGCCAGCCCCTCAGAACCAAGTCCAGACCTGAAAGCAAATCTGTAAAGGCATAAGCCTCAGGACCACTAGGAATGCCAGAGGCCATCTTCAAGAGCAAGACTTCATAGCTTGGCTGGTTTTCTTTCATTCAAATCACAACCAATCGGTCCTCCACCTTTCTAACTCCTTCCTCATCTACAGCTACTCTTCCATCTCCCTGGTTAGCCTCTAACTTTTCCCCTTAGCTCTCCCCTCCACCAGAAACCACAAAAACCTCAGCCATCCTTCACCACATCCCAATCCAGCTTCCCAAGTGAGAGCAAAAACCACCCGCTTCCGTGACCCAGCTATGACACTGCCACTCAACACTCCTCCCTCCTGAGTCTTACAACCCACCTGATTTGGTCCCCTATTTCCTTAACAATCCATGGGATTCTACCAGCAATGGGCCTCTGCCTCCAGTCACATGACACCCTTGCCCACACTCAACTCAGGTCTGGTCTATAAACTTAGCGTGCTCCCAAGCCTCCTTCCCTGACATCATATAATCCCAGCACCTCAGCTATGTTCCCATAAACCTTCTGGGGCCTGCCTACCTAACCTCTTGGTCACCCACAAACCTCATCTGCCACACTCAAAACCCTCCACCCTTTCCCATAAACCAGTCCATCTTTTCTTAGGACACTTAATATTCATTCATTCAATAAATATGTATTAAGCACTTACTGGGTGCCAAACACTGTTGCAGACACTGGAGATGGAGCAACACTGGAGATGGAGCAGTGGTCTGTGCTAGGGGCCCTGAAGGAGTGTGTACATGGCCGAAGCACTTTGGTAATTTGGGCTGACCCACCCCCAACACCGCTCTGATAGTAGGATAACAGCAAACACTTATTGACCATTGCTTGACAGTACCAACCACTGTTCTCAACACTACATGTGCACTATCTCACTGAATACTTACATCAGCCCTGTGAAGCAGATTCTACCAGTGTTCCATTTTACAGATGAGGAAACCGAGCCATGAAGAGATAATAATTCAGAAGGAACATACCAAGTCTGTGCCAAGCGCTTTACCTGACTTACCTCATTTAAACCTCAAGCAATCCCATGAGGCAGGTTCTGGGAACATTCCCATTTTATAGAAGAAGAAACTGAGGCTTACAAAGGATACTGATGATAATAAGAGCATCTAACATTTACTTAGAGCTTACTTTACACCAGGTCGGGCGCTAAGCACTTTTCCTACTTTATCCCAACAGATACACCACCCAGCGAGGTAAGTCCCCACTTCTCAGAGGAGGGAACTGAGGCTCAGAAAGGCGAAGCAACTTGCTCAAGGTCACAGAGTGAAGAACCTGGCAGTCCCGGAACTCGAACCCGGGTCTCTCCAACTCCAGAGACCGCGCGACTTGGCCAAGGTCACACGTGAGGCAGGGGCAGGCGCGGTGAGTGGACCCGGCGCGCTCGGCCTCTCCGCTCCGCAGCCCCGCTCCCCAACCTCCCCGCGGCGCAGTCCAGCGCCCCTCGGCGCGCCCCTGGGGCCCAGGCCGCCGGGCAGCCCCACCCGCCCCGCGCGAGCCGGCACCTCCCCACCCGCCCCGAGGCCCCCGCGGGCCGCCCCCGGCACGGACCGCGCCGCCCCCCCCTGCCCCCCCCCTCCCCCCC